CCTCTCTCCTATTTTTGAATTTTCATCAAGAGAGAGAAAACACGCCACATCGTTTCGAGACAAGGCGCCAGCTCGTTTTTTCCCCTCCCCTCCCCTCCCGAGTCTACTAAAAATGTCTTTCGCGACGCTAATCTGTCATATCGATTATTCCGCATAGAAATGAGGCTACAATGTACAGCTTTGAATAATGCAAGTAAATGAAAACAAAAAAAAAAAAAAAAAAAAAAAAAAAGCGAGACTAATCTCTCTTGTAAATGCCATAGTAAATATAAATCGATCGACCGGTTATCATTTAACGTTCGTGAAATAAATTCGCTCGCCCATTTTGCATTCGTAACAATTGATTTCGTGATCCCCCCGTGATGGGAAGGTATTAAATCATATTCGAAAATAATAAAAATTCCGCTTCGTCAATTTCATATTTTTTTTTCATAAAGAAACGTTTCCATTGAAATTTTTTTTTTTTTTTTTCCATTCGAAAGAATTCGAATTTATCGGGAAATTACAATGACTGATGGTGTCATAAACTGATGGAACAATGGCTAAGTAACATCGAAGAATGGAAGAGTTATATTATTACGAGTTTTAATTTTAAATTAAGAGGACGTGTAAGATGATTATTTTTATTTTAAAAGTTTTTACAAGAACGCGCAAGCTTACGTAATTTAATGATCAATCGTCTTGTTGCTTTTCAATACATATTAATTCGTTCGAAAAATAAATTTATTCTAATGATGGAATAAGATAAAAAATACGAAATAATACGAAATAATATTATCTTAAATAATTAACTGTACATTAAAAAAAAAATAGACGATTAATAATTTTGTATTGTATAAAATATAAATAATTTTTATCTTTTTGTTATGTAAATTTTTTAAAACTCGTGAATTTAAGATCTTAAACGGTTTTTTTTCAACCATTTCCATATGAGTCAACTATTAGTCGTTCCATATGAGTCGTTAACTATTAACTCGTTATCGACGTCAAGTGACACGTAATCGCGGAAATGTTCATTTAATAAATTAATCAATGTTTTCATACTCGATTTTTATTCTTTTTTTTTTTTTTCTTCTTTTCCCCACGATAGTTTATTTCTAGTACTTGGAATAATTAACAATCCGCGACACGTAAATGCGCCGCCCACGGGGTTGGTTGCAACCCTAACTTCTTCGTGTCGAAAGGTTACACTTAAATAAATCGAGCACGTGCTCGAGGAAGATTCTATGTTTGAAAAGTTCACGTCATGGTGGAATTTACAGGAAGTAGAAGAGTTGTGTTGGATGTTTGTACACGTTTGCCCTTTCTTTTCAATTCTTCCTGCGTTAGATTATACTGTAATGACACATAATCCATCTTAGGATCGATGAAGTATGATTTCCATGGAAAAATAACAAATTTGAAGATACATTTGAACTTTTTCTAATCGTTTCTCCGTCAATAATAATTTTATTATCCATGGATCAATAATCATATTCGATGGAAGAATAATAAAATTTCAGAAGATTCATGAATATTGAATATTTGAATTTTTTTTTTTCTAATCATTTCTGAATTAAAATATGCTCGAATAATCCTACAATTCATGCAATGGATCGTATTCGAAGGAAGAACAACAAATTTGAAGATTCACGATGAATATTCATATCTATTTCGATTTTCTTTCTAATCATTTCTGTTCTAGCAAATGATATCACGATGATCTTGTAATCCAATCAATCAAGAAGAAGAATCGTTGAGATTCATTTTGATATTTATATTCGTTTGAATTTTTTCTAATAATTTTACAATCCATATTGAATCGATAAAATGAGAGAATAATAAATTTGAAGATTCGTGGATATCTATTTGTCTTTCTAATCATTTCTGTTATATGTTGCTATATATCGGTGTAATTTAATGGATATTCGATGGAAAGGTAACAGATTTGAAGATTGAAAGATTTGGTTATGCACCGTGAATCGGAAACTTGAGAAGATTTTATTCAATCTCGATAGAATGAAGAGAGAATAAAGCGAACGATCTTATTGGGACAAAGAATCGTAGAATTAAGGAATCAAGCATGAATTTTAATAGGAATCTTCGAGAAATCGGCATGTCTTATTTGACTGCAAGATAATTTTATTACATTTAAAAAATTTTGATATCTTATCTAACAAATCAGTAAATAACGTCATACAATAAATAACATTAGCCAAATATTTGCTGATTCACGTAAAATAGAACTACAATTACTAATTGTAGAATGAAATCTATAAATTATAAAGTTTCGTATCAAAAGCGATCTTTGTTCAATTTCTATTATATGCGCTTCATAATTTGATTATATGAAAATAAACTATTTGTATTTAGAATTTCTTATATGTTCATATATAATATAAGACGATAAAAAGATTAAAAAAATTAAAGACAATAAAACATCTTTTTGTCTAAAGATTCTTTTTCGTTATGAATCCTTGTATCAATAAATTAGCAAAGTTTAATTACTTTTGAAATATAATAATTATATCGAATATTCATAAATTTTAACAAAATTTTTTAATTGTGCATTTCAATTTAAATTCATACGCATTCCATTCTCACTAAATCTAAATATCGACTCGAACAATTAGAACGATACTACAAATGTAAACAAATCCCACGTTATTTTTAACAACCAAAAAAAGAAAGCATCATTCCAATTCGATCTATCCTTTTATCCTTAAATATCCCATTCCATCCCCCAATCTCGTCCATCGTGCAAAAATTATAATTCTCGAAATTCGAAACCGTTCCATGTGACGCTGGAAGCGTGCACATCTCAAAAAATTCATCTCTCGAGGAGGAGGAAAAGGAAGAAATAAAAAGAAAGAAGAAAGCCTCGAAACGACGAAGAAGACGACAGCGTCTGAATATCTCTGGAGGTTCTACTCTCCTCCATCTCTGGAGGAGAGGAGAGCCGAGCCTCCACACGTGTCTGCCCTTCCTGCGTTCACACACGCTTCCCCGTAGTAGTCGCGGCCACGTAGCCACGATCCCCAATTCGCTCGTTCCATCGGTGCTCCTCACTCGTCCGCGTGTCCGTGTACACGGGCACAGGCGGAATCTGTCGGAGGGCGCATGTCTGACCGACGATGAACGCTTGGAGAACGCGCGAGCAAGAGGGTTGCACGAGGGTTAGACGGAGACGAGAACCCCCGCCGTTAACCCCCACCCGTTGCCACCCGTCGGCATCCGCCACCGCCGAGCCCTGGTCACTAGTCCGACCAGTCTACCCTGTCACGCCACGTTACGCGTACACGTCGCTCGTCTCGTTCTTCGTTTTTTAAAAATATCCTCCTCCCCTCCTCCCCCTCCCCCTCGCCGTTTCGACCGTTCTCTTCCCCCTTCTCTCGGCCAGAGAGAGAGAAAC